TGTTCCATCACGTACGCTAGACAATGCGAAATTGATTTTGCATAGAAATCATCGGAAAAAAAAGCAAGGGCGTGTTCTGGAATCGAACCCTCATCTCTCGTATGCAATGTTAGTGACGTTTCCTGTTCGGCTATATGGAATTAAATGGTTATGTCTTGCTTAGCGAGTAAGTAGGTACCATGACGCAATGAGCGCGTGATCACGGGTAAATTTTGGAGATTTTTTTCTCTTCTAATGTTCAATTTGTGTAATCAATTTAAACTAGCTGTTCCATCACGTACGGTAGACAATGCGAAATTGATTATGCATAGAAACCTTCTGAAAAGTAATCAAGGGCGTGTTCGGGAATCGAACGCTCATCTCTAGTATACAATGTTAGTGACGTATCCTATTCGGCAATATGGCATTGAATGGGTATGGCTTGCTTAGGGAGTGAGTAGGTACCATGATGCAATAGGCGCGTGATCACGGGTAAATTTTGGATATTTTTTATCTTCTAATGTTCAATTTTCGTAAGAAATTGAAAGTAGCTGTTCCATCACGTACGCTAGACTATGCGACATTGATTATGCCTAGAAACCTTCTGAAAAAAAAGCAAGGGCGTGTTTGGGAATGGAACCCTCATCTCTCGTATCCAATGTTAATGACGTATCCGATTCGGCTATATGGCGTTGAATTTGGAATGGCTTGCTTAGCGATTGAGTAGGTACCATGACGCAATGAGCGCGTCATCAAGGGTAAATTTTGGATATATTTTTCTCTTCTAATGTTCAATTTGCGTAATAAAATTAAAGTAGCTGTTCCATCACGTACGCTACACAATGCGACATTGATTATGCATAGAAATCTTTTGAAAAAAAAGGCTTGTGTGCGTTCATGAATCGAACCCTCATCTCTCGTATCCAATTTTAATGACGTTTCCTTTTCGGTTATAAGGCCTTGAAGGGGAATGGCTTCCTTAGCGAGTGAGTAGGTACCATGACGCAATGAGCTCCTGATCATGGGTAAATTTTGGAGTTTTTTTTCTCTTCTAATGTTCAATTTCCGTAATAAATTCAAGGTAGCTGTTCCATCACGTACGCTACACAATGCGACATTGATTATGCATAGAAACCTTCTGGAAAAAAAAGCTTGTGTGCGTTCGGGTTTTCGAACCCTCATCTCTTGTATCGAGTGTTAGTGACTTATCCTATTCCGCTATATGGCGTTGAATGGGGAATGGCTTCCTTCCTGTGTGGATAGGTACCATGACGCAATGAGCGCGTCATCAATGGTAAATTTTGGAGATTTTTTTCTCTTCTAATGTTCAATTTCCGTAAGAAATTCAAAGTAGGTGTTCCATCACGTACGCTAGACAATGCGAAATTGATTTTGCATAGAAATCATCGGAAAAAAAAGCAAGGGCGTGTTCTGGAATCGAACCCTCATCTCTCGTTTGCAATGTTAGTGACGTTTCCTGTTAAAAAAGCAAGGGCGTGTTCGGGAATCGAACCCTCATCTCTCGTGTCTAATGTTATTGACGTATCTTATTCGGTTATGTGGCGTTGAATGGGGAATGGCTTCGTTCCTGTGTGGGTAGGTACCATGACACAATGAGCGCGTCATCAAGGGGAAATTTTGGAGATTTTTTTCTTTCATAATGTTCAATTTGCGTAATAAATTTAAAGTAGCTGTTCCATCACGTACTCTACACAATGCGACATTGATTACGCATAGAAATATTCTGCAAAAGAAGGAATGGCGAGTTTGGGAATCGAACCCTCATCTCTCGTATCCAATGTTAGTGACGTATCCTATTCGGCTATATGGCATTGAATGGGGAATGGCTTCCTTCCCGTGTGGGTAGGTACCATAACGCTATGAGCACGGGATCACGTGTAAATTTTGGAGATTTTTTTCTTTCATAATGTTGAATTTGCGTAATAAATTTATAATGAAAGTGCATGTCTTTTTCTACTTATGATATATTCACCATACATGTTCTAGCATTTGTTTCTGTGTTTCATTAGGTTTAAATGCCTGTCTCAAAGAATGCGTTATCTTATGTTACAGGCAGCACAGTACAGTAATCCCATTCTTGATGGGGTGCCTGGAGATAGTTGCATGCTTCCTGGAGAAGGTGAGAAATCCCTCCAATTGCATATCAAGTAAGTAATAGATTTGGTTGGTCTCTGGTAATAAATTATTAAACCCATTCTTGTATGAGTTCCTCATTCCTATTGCAGATTTACTAAATAGATGCTCTTTCTTTCAGAACCATGAAGATTGAATCCAGGAAACGTCAGGTTGACAAGAAGAAAGCCCAGAAACTGCTTGATGTGACATTTTGCTTCAGGCATGGAACTCATAGAGTGAAGAAGGTGTTGGAGATCCTAGAGGTATATCTGTGTCTCTCCAATGCAGTTGAGGTGAGCTTCATGGTTTCAAAATGTATCATGATAGTATTTTTTGTGTATCACTTGATGTTCCTCAACATATCTCCATAGTAGAACTTCAGGGCACAATCCAGTCTAAATTGAAACAAAATCTCAAAAAAGGAATGGAATTAGGAAACATTTTTCCATCATGTCTCTGGGGTGGGGCACCTTAGATCATTTGAACATATTCTTTTTATTATTATTATGCACTCTACTACGTTGCGTGAACCTTTGGATACGCTAAAGTGCATGGTAGAAGTTTTCCTTGGTTCCACCTAGATGGATAAATTGCAGCAAGAATCAATACTTCAGAGGCAATCCAAAAGATACATGTATGTAATGTAAGCATTTACCTGGGAAAGCAACAACTGGAGGATGACTTTCACTCTCAGCCCAAATCCCACAGATAATATGCCTAGTTCAACTGAAATAACCTATCCAACTAATGCTTTTCTAAATTACCTTTGGAATGCCAGGACCTGTGGAGGTAATGAAAATTTGATGAGCCCAATGTTAAAAGAAAAGAAAATGCAGAATTGTTTTGATGGGGCACCATGGACAGGGACCAAGTGTAATCCATGGTGCCCTGCTCTGGTTTTTTCTACAATTCCATGCATGGTATGAAAACAAAAGATCATAGCATGTGTACAATGTTGTTAAGTTTTAGCCAAATAACACAGCTATAGCATAGTCCAGTTGCAAAAAAAGCAACACTTCCCTAGGTCCTACAAACCAAAATTTTTTTTTAATTGTTTCCCCAAAAATGTGGTTTCTTCTTAATTTGTGAAGTATATATGGAAACAAGAGCACCAAATAGCCTAAGACTGCCTTAATAATATTGCACTGGCATGATGAAGAAGGCATGTGAATTTCATGATAGCATATTAAATTCTTGAAGTTCTGCAGGGGCTGTTTGATTGTGCCTTAATCCTTTAATCTTGTGATAACATCTGCACCACCCTGCACCTATTTGCAATCTTTGTTGATTGATGACATGCATAAAACATGTATACATGGTAATTTAATGGATTATTTTATATGAGTGTTACTTTGAAAGTTTCTGGATGCTGGTAACAGAAAATGGTTTGGCTGTATTTGGCCATTACACCTTTTCAAAGTTGTTTCGCTAGGCATGAGCACTTTCTCGTCCATTTGAACCATTCCTCAAAGCAGTTTTCCAAAGCAGTGTGGAAACACTCTGATGCCAGACTCATTCAGGAAATCCAATCTTAGGGCAGCAATGACAGGATGCCTTGTCTTGATGGCATGCATAATTTCAACAATGGCTTTGGCTGCTGAATCTTCAGAGATTTTGACACTTTACTTGAAGGCAGGAATCTCTGCACCAGTCACAGTCTTTTCACCCTGAATAATTAAAATGTTTAATTGACTCATAAACAATAAGAAACCTGCCATCATTGCCTTAGATAATAGATAATCTAGATAATCCCTGAACATGAAGGTATAAGCAATTATGAATGTTGTTCAAGGCAAGGAATTCTGAAAGTTATTCATAGACTTTACTGATGATCTTTACTGGAAGCTAAATTCTCTGCCTAAGAGGTGGCACCTGCAAGCTGCATCCAAAAACTTTCAATTAAACATTTGTATTATGAGGCCTGCTTTACTTCCCATCCACATTTCATGCTTTCAATAGCTACTTGTAATATGTGAAACTCCTTCATGATAGATGCTGCAAGAGTATGGAAGAGTTACACAGGCAGGAAACTGCTTGAAACAGGCATTGAGAAATAATCTCTTGGGTACCCAGGAGTTACTTCTACAGTACCTACCCCCCCAGCAAATGAATGTCATATCTCACATAGAAGGTAAAAAGCATCTCTCCCTTGGGATGCTTCATCTTTTCAGGCATTGAGAAATAATCTCTTGGGTACCCAGGAGTTACTTCTACAGTACCTACCCCCCCAGCAAATGAATGTCATATCTCACATAGAAGGTAAAAAGCTTCTCTCTCTTGGGATGCTTCATCTTTTCACGAGACTCCTCATATGGTGGCATTGATTGATTTTGGATCTAGCAGTTCACAACATTTATAACACCCAGGTTTGAGAAACTCAACCCTTGCGAACTGCCTCAAAATAAATTTCACTAATTATTTAGTAAATGTTGCCTCTACTACCAAACTGCAGCTTGTCTTTGACTAGAGCTTGTCCAAGTTTTTCTTTAATCCTTTTCTGATCCATGGCTCAATTGGACTTGGAGCCCTATATACTGTCTCATTATTTCATGCATATTTTACCCAATATTTTTTTTTGACAAGGCAATTTTCCGGAGGGGGGAGATTCCCAAACAATGTATACTTAATAGTAACTGTGCCAACCGATTAGTCGTCCAAGTAAAGTTAATATTCATGGCTCATTCATAAGATTCATGGTTCATTTGCTTATTTAGTGAGATTGTTTTCTTGTTAAAAGAAACCAGATACTTGGATTGTAGCATTGAAATGGTTAATGCCACTGATTTAAAGGAGAGGAGGCATGCTATCCATCACCCCTACTATGCTAAATGAGTTCATTTCTTTTGCTTTCAGATGTTTCTCCAGATATTCTTCAGTTGTGCTTACCAGTAGCTGTTGGAGAGTCAGAAGAGCTTCTATGGGCCTCCAACGCCACCACTGTGAGTTAATTCTCATTTCATTTTAGCCAGTATTCTAGTTCCTTTGTCTTTTATTATAATAGTATGAACATTTTATATTATCAGGGAAGAAACTTGATCCTGCTCCTGTGGCTGTTTACACTGGTGAATGATGGGGCAAGCCAACCTGGCATCTGTGGGTGGAAAGGATGCGTTTTCTCACTGAAAGTGCCGTGGAAGCTGTTGCTGTCTTAATGGCTATATATTTCATTTTTGGAATTGAATATCGGAAGTTAGCTGAAGGAAGGAGCAAAGCTTCCACACTTTTTGTTTTCATTTAAAGACTTTGTGGGATTAACCACACAAAAATTTTGCCAAAGAAGCGAATTATCCAAAATATAATAAAACACTGTAAGTTATAGGTGGTGATCCTCTTGCTCTTGAAGTTCAGAGTTACTGTGAAGTAAATAGCTGTTCAAGAAATGAAAAAAAAGGCTTTGTTCATTTATTTTTTGAAATGCTAAAAGGTCAATATTTTCCTGGTAATTTCCAGGTTATCAGCAATATTTTGTTGTTTTTCTTCAGTTGTGCAAGGTATTTTTAGTGCTAGCTGAGTTTTTGTGGATACTGAAATTACTTCCCTTCCATTATGATCCCTGGATCAGCATCAAGAAATGAAGATAATCCATGAAGTCAGACTTTCTTGGTTTTCCTGCTAATAGTGTTTTCCTACATGGAAAGAAATTATTTATTCCTTTGGCTGTATCCCACAAAACCATTTAGAGTGCTTCTTAATCTAAGTTATCCAAGGTTCTCCTTGTAATAAATGTCAGGGAATCTACCCCATATGTCTACATTCTTTCTCAACACCAGTGCTACCAAGAACATGAAATTACCTCTTTTACCTTTGCCCCTTCTGGATAGAGAATAGAGGAAGACACCTGGACACCTTTTGAAGGTACCAGGTCCATCAATAAGTTCTCAGCCTCAATATAAAAGAAGCGCATGCATATATTATTATTATTTCATGCAATGAAAAGGATGCTCAATGACCCACTGGAAACGATCATGGAACATTCTGGTACTGGTTTCGAGCATGGCTTTAATTACATTAAATGTTGATAATGAAATAAAATATTTGCGTGTTTCGTTTGTGGATGAGGCTGAGAACTGACAGACCTCTGGTAAGATAACAAGGTAAGATGCTGGTGAAGTACCACTCCAAAAGCCACTTGCCTTGCCTTGTTATATCGCCTTCAAATGGCGCCTGTATAGATGCATTCCCCAGGCATAGTAATGTTACCACACGCACAGAAAGGGAGCAGTGAGGCAAAGAAGGAATGGTGAAGTTACTAGTCCAAAAACAACCCTCAGGGCATGGTTACATGACTATCCCAGGATGGTAATATAACTAGGATTTGAGGGTGATTTTTGGACTGGTAGCTTCACCGTTTCTTCCTTGTTTCCTTACCGTACACCTGCTGTGTGTGTGATGGTCAACCACGGAAGACATCCAAATATTGAAAGTCTCAAGCGAACATACATCAAGCTTTGTCCCTCTACCTAGCCTATGACCTAGAATGGCATAGGCGGAAAGGCCTCGCGCCTCGGGCTATTCCAGTAGGATTCTCGATCGGATAGGCCGAGAAGTTCCTGTATGCGAATGGGTCAAGAATGGTGTAGGCCTCCGCAATCGGTTCCACTCGAAATGTCCCCCCACAGTCGGAGTGTTTCTGTAGCCTGCAACCCAACAGCTGTCAGTGTTCGGTTTCATTGAAGGAAGAAAGTAGAAGAGAGGTGTAAGGCTATGCATGCATCCATAGGATGGGCCTAAGCCTAGGAAATCAACTCCCCCCCCTCCCATCGGAAATGTACCCCAAAGCATGTACCTCCGAAGTCCGACTTTCACTGGTGTCGGTCAAATAACAGCTATGCAAGTTCCTTCCAGTTTCGTTGGAGAAAGTGTACTCATGAGAATGGCGTAGGCCTAAGCCTCCGTCTTTGGGTTATGCATAGGCTTACAAAATCAGTCCCTCCGAAAGGTGTCCCCAGGGCATGTACCCCCAAGTCGGAATATTTCTGGAGTCAGCAATCTAACAGATATTCGTGTATCGAGTTTCCGCTTCTCATCGTATCGAGAACATGGTTAGAATTAGCGTCAGTCAGTCTCTCACGATCGTCTATCTTACGTGGAACGGGAGAGAATGCTCTCGCCGTTGCGTGAACTGATATTACTGCAATTCTGCTGCTCCGTTTCATGACGCGTCTCACGTTCTTCAACTTGCCATCGGATCTGCTCACGCATAAAACGTGTCGTTTATTGCGCACACACCAGGCGATCGACATCGTATGGGTCGAAGCGCCGATGGCGCCCGCTGAAGCATTGGCAGCGATCGAACGGGCGTTGCGAAACTTGACGGAGGATGACCGCCGTTTCGGTGGCAAATTAGTTGGGCCGGGCGGTGACTTTCGCCGAGTGTTGGCAGTCGTCCGCAAAGCATCTTGCGGTCAAATCGTCGAGATTCGCATTATAACGAGCCCATTGTGGCAATCATTCCGATCGATTCCTTTGCCAGGAAAATGCTTGCTGCGGCAAACGGAATTCGTTTTCTCGATGAGGGCAGCGAAATACTTGGAGTACAGGGCGGCCGATGTGAGCTCTGCGTGTGCTTACTAGACGATCGTATCTCAGCTGATTTGGTGAACGAGTTATTTTGATGACGGCATGGCGTTTGCAACAGGCGCGCCATCTTGTGTCCCACAGGGGCAAGTGCCAGGTCTTTGGTCCCCTTCGAATCCGTTAAGCAGTCCTCGCTTTCTCCTTCCCCACCTCTTCAATATCGGATCCACGTGCATGTACACCGGTGTTTCTCAAACGGTGGTCCGCAGAAAGAGTAAATTAATAACTGTTCCCCAAAATCGCGCTTTTTTGTAACTGACGAAAAAGGATGCACCCCACGAATCACGGTCGGCGATTTGCAGGTCAGAGAGAACCAGCAGCCTTTTTCCCCTTTCGGGAAACACCGAAAACGGAGTTCGCTACTCTCCATCGTGTCTTGCACGCATTCACCAGCCTGGGCACACCGTTTAGAACGGGAACCATATTTCAACGTGGTCTAAGTCTCGAACACTATCGATCTCCCCATCGATGAGAGCAAGAAAAGTTACCCGGTCTGCCTCGGGTCATGACACAGTCGACTCGTTGGCTCAATTTTTCGTATGAATTCCAAGATTTCGATGTTCTACGTGTTTTCGAAGACTTTTCTTGGATATTCGACGAAAGTGACATTCGCCAAAATGCTGTCATTTTTGACGAGTCGTCAATCTCTTTGTAGGCTGCCGATTCTGAGTAACATTGGTAGGCTTATAGGGTGACACAATTGAAGTTTTCATACCAAATTTCAGCCTTCTGGCTCTAAAATGATAGAAGCTGTAATTATTTTCTGATGACCAACGACAAATTGTGCTGTTGAAAATATCGATACGAGCTTCGACCGGGATGAAGTGGATTCATGATCTTCCATGATGCTACAAAAATTGGAATGAACGGCCCTAAACCTAATTGTGTATTTTCGCTTTAGACATTTGTGCTTTTTGTTTTTGTTCTGTTATTATTATTATTATTAAAAAATTTTTATTTTTTTGGTGATGAAATGTAAATTAAATTCCAATCTCTCAGTCATTTCTGAGTGCCCATGCGAAATTTCTCATATGAAGATCAAACAGCAAGGTCAAGTGCATTCGACCTTCGTTTTGATTGGATTTTCATGAAAATCGCTCTTAAAATGGCACAAAAGGAACTTGAAACGTCACTTCTGGGGTTCATAGGCTTTTACTGTATGAACCGCATGCACTCTCCTCTCGAGATATAAGCGAGTGCAGGTGAAGAGGCAGACGTCGGCGTAGGTCATGTGCATTGGAGGACAGTAAATCTCGAAACTTTTAAAAAATTACAGAAATTTTCTGTATCGTCAGGAGAATATTTGCACTGTCGTGAACGTATCAGAAGTAACTCATCAAGAAACCCAACTTGTTCACCAAATTTAATTCCTACTTAGTGGGGTGGAGGCGATATTTAATTTGTTGTGCGTTGAATCGATTCAGAATGACCAAGGCATGAATGCGAAGGACGAAATTTTTATTATTATAGAGATGTATGTGCGACCCTTAGCTGCAAGCTGCATGTTTTCGAGGAAAAATCCAAGCGGGAAAAATGGACACACCATCAACGTGATGAAACCCGGTGAATCTCGAGGAGCGCGACCGAGGAACAGCAGGCACAGGGGGACGAATGCCTCCACCATTCCTCCTGCAGATCCTCGCGAGGATGTTCTCCGCCGTTTCTTGCCATCCGGCAGCGAAAGCGTGATTGGTTCGAGGAGCGACGCCAGAGGCGCGCACTGCAGACGTTGGGGATGACGTGAGAAAGGAATGAACGTCTCAGTTGAGAGAAGGCTTTCGTGTAATTCGAACGACGATCGGGCCAAAGAGTGAGCCGTGCTTCAGGAGGCAAGAAGCTTCTGAAATCAGAGTGGGTGGGCGATGTATGCTTGAAGAAACGAGAAATTTGACTCTGGGCGCCGAAAATTAAATTTAATCGAATGCAACGAGCCATCATGATTGTTCGATTTCGAGGAATTCATCCGTGGCATGGGGTCCACTTAAATAGACCGTAGGTCCTCATGACAGTGAACACTCAGTAGCGTGTCCAGGAAATCCGAATTGAGGGGGGGGTTACCATATGAAACAACTGGTAACCCACCATGTATTTGTTGCCAAATTAAGAAATTTGGGCGAATCAAACCTGTAAAATTGACTCCAAGGGGGGAGGGGGGGGGGGTTATGATCCCCAAAACCCCGCCCCTTGGGCACGCCACTGCGAAGACTCAATGGTGTGAGAGCATCGACATCCCCGACCACGACGCAGTTGCCTCTGTGGATCTGCGAACCGGATGAATATCGCTTTTCGAGATGTGAACGAGCGCGAAAAGGTCATTTCTGGCGTCAGCGTCTCGATACGTGTCGGAGGGAACGAAGAAGTCGTAGCAAGGCCCTGTGCATCTCAGATGAATCACTGAGGAAAACCCCCATTTTCAGCATATTTTTTCTGTGAAGTGTGCTACTTACAACCGATCAATTATAGTACTCATTCTAAGCTGAGCCGAAAGTGTGTTATTAATTATTAATTGCAGAAATCCCTATTCCGATAATGCTCTTTTTTTTCACTCTGGAAGGAGGAAAAACAATTTGCAAAGTACGAAGTAATTGGCACGATTGGCGCGTAAATAATATTTCCTA